CTCCTTCTCCGGCAGAGCATCTGGTGGATTCGAACCGTGTTCCTCTGGGATTGCAGTGCAGCTTCTTGCCACTAGGCCACCAGAGCTCCCCTGGACCTGTCTCTTCTTACAACATGTCCAAAGTATGTCAGACGAAGCCTCAGAAATAAATAATATACATAACCAAATTATCTTTGGAATCTTGAATAATTAAAAAATGTAAAGAGTTTCTAAGATCAGAAAGTTTGAAGACTTCTGTCTGGTCTAGTGAAATAAATGTGGCCACTTATAAATCTTCTAATAGAAACTGGTATCTTGCCTCCTGGGGCTGCCATTTTGGCTGCTTTTTGGAAATAACTGTCCTTAAAGCCCCAGAAGGACTCAGAGGTAAAGATGTAGTAGCAAATTGCTGAGCATCTCCCAATCCTTCTCCCTATTAAGAAGAACCCAGACTTACCTGTATGTGCAGTCAACGCCTATGGAAGCAACAATCAAGAAATCAAGGAAGCTCTGGTGGTCTAGTGTTAAGACACTACACTGTAATCCCAGAGGTACGCAGTTCAAATCCACCAGATGCTCTGCTGGAGAAGGAGGGTGCAATCTCCTCCTGTACCAGTCAAATCTGATTTGACGGTACACATAAAAAAATAATACAATAAAAATAAAAAAAAATAAAAACTCAAACAAGGATGTATTGTACTATATAAGTTTGCTCCCAAGGACCTTTTAAGAGTGCTAGCAAGCAAAGATGTCACTTTAACCATTAAGGTTCACCCAGCATAAGCCATGGTATTTTTAGTTGGGCAATGCATAAGGAAAATCGAGGGAATATTGGTGCCTTTGATTTGTGTGAGAAGCATTTCAGTGGTTAAGGGTGTGGAATCTGGGATTGCTGTCTTGGATTTGAATTAAATTTGGTTGCATACTACCTAGATCCTTGTGCAAATTACCCAACCTCTCTGATTCTCAGTTTCCTTAGCCTGATCCTCATGGTTTTGTTTAATTCTTCAAAATAATCATAATTCCTAGCTCTAAGAATGGTTGCCAAGCTTGAGATAAAGTACCTAATGTGAATTTGATATGCATTAAATGTCTTTCCCTTTTTCAAAATTAAATCTTGGATCTAGCTTTGCCATCAGAAAGGGGAGATACAAGTAGGTCCAATCCACTTTTGAAGATATTTATGCCCTATAAGATACACAAAACTTGCAGATACTTTCAGGTTTTATTATTCACAGCAGACTCTGGACAGTTTTTGGGTGCAAGGGAGATGTTGAGTCCAGGCCATGTTGTAAGACATTAGCCTGCAGCTCAAAGAAGAACATGACTTAGGAGGCCTTGTTTCTTGGTGCCTCTTTGGCCTGTCCAGGGACTTCTCCTTCCTGAAAGAAGTAAATTGGCTTTGTTTTGTTTTGTTTTTCACTTACAGGGAGTGGAACTTGCTCGTTCTTCACGCTGTTTCACACCTGAGGATATTAACAGAGAAGCTCTAGTCTTGGATACAGCCATGAGTATGGACATGGGCTCAAACTATGCAGAACTGCCACTTGCTGATGAAACACACAGTTCTGGGAATGGACAGATGGAGGATGGGGTACTGACCTGCTCATTGTGTAGACAGAACCTGTATGGTTCAGGCTCCCGGCTTCTCCCCTGCCAGCACTTGCTCTGTAAGGACTGCTTTCAGGGCTTGATTCAAGAGTTGGGGCAAATTGTCAAAGCTCAAGGGGCTGTCTCAGATGGTAAGTTCAAATGCACTGATGGTTCACCTCATTCTACACAACAGGTCTCTTATTTTTTTTTTTAAAGGAACTGAATATCAGGTGTACAAAAAAATCAGAATTTAGATGCCCATGAGATACTGATTGTTGAAGGGAGCTCTTTGGGGGAACCTGTGAGAAAAAGCAAATCCTCTTGATGCCTAATATACCTGTTTTGTAAACTGTGACTTTTCATGTTTGGGATTTCTTTGAAGTGTTGGCAAACTAAGAGGACTGGGAAGGTTTAGATTTAAGGTCTGGCAAATTCCACAGATGAGGTGGACATAACTGGGCTCCCTAAATCTCTGAGGCACAGAGAGAATAGCTGGGTGCCTACGGTTAGGAACAGATTTTTTTAAACGGAATTATATTGTCTAGTGAATCCTTTACTATTTAAAATGCTGCCCAGCAAGGAAGAGCCTGTGTCTTGCTCCTGAATGTTGGGTTTCCTAGGAAACAATCCCACTGAGAACTGTAAAGTCTTTGGAGATGAGAGCCTTGTTCCTTCATTTCATTATTTTATCTCAGGCCGTGTAGTAACAGATGAATAGTGAATAATTGCTGAATGAATTTGTAGACTAAGAAAGTGAAAATAAATCAGGAGTTTTAGAGGCAACATCTTTGATATTGTTTTTGTTCTTCTCAGTATTTCTAAAGTGATTTGCAGTACAGTCTAGGCTTTCTTTGAGACCTTACAGCATTGTTGTTAACAGCCTGGAATTTTGTTCTAGGCGTTGAGCATTTTGTGACATTTGAGTAAGCTAATATGAAACCTATACTTGGACCAAGAGGCAGTAGTCAGAACAGAGCAGGGTAACACTGCATGGTTCAAAGTTGGTAAGGGTGTACGCCAGGGATGCATCCTGTCTCCATACCTTTTCAACATGTATGCAGAGCAGATTATCCGAGAGGCTGGGCTCTATGAGGAG